CCAAAAATGACTAGGAGAGAATTCTCCATATTTATAATTCTTTCTCATACACATACATGTTCTTATGTTGTGTAGAAAGTTTGAGTTGATTCCAATCAAATTTAGATTTTTTACAAATTTTTAAAGTCGCTCCAAAAGCTATATGCTATTATAAGACTTTCCAACTCATAAAACATAATACTTTTTAGCTCACTTAGCATGCTTTGTGGGAAGCCCTGATGTCCTTATCCTTATTACATGTACATGTACATATAGAAGTTTTATTTATTGTTCACTCACTTTAAAATAATTTGGTGTCAGACCATCAGCTGACGAATCAGAACCAGGCGACTGACGGAACATTCTTGATGTGGGCGGTACTCTCACGTCAAGAGGTAGAGGAGTGTCTTGATAGGATATTGAAGGAGGATAATGACTACCACCTGGAGCAATACCAAGTGGTAGATTATTAGGACGTGTTGCTCCAGCTGTGTGGTGAGACAGGTACGAGGGGTCCGCAACGAAGAAAAATCTGGTACACTTTCCAAAAAATCAAAAAAATCCAGTAAAAAAATCCAATAATCCAATAAAAATCCAATAATCCACAGAAATACACCAGTAATCCAGAAAATCCTTGCAATAATCCAAAAATCCAATTAGTAATCCAAAAAAATCCAAGGAAATCCAGTCACAATATTCAAAGATTTACTGTCTATGATTTATTAACTATTAAAAACAGTTAATTAACTGCTATTATTAAATGAGTGGTAATTTTAATAGTTAATTGACTATTATTAATAGTTAACTAACCATTATTAATAGTTAATTAAGATAACTAATGGTTAGTTAACTTTAATAACATGGTGGATACTATTTATTAATGTTATATGATCAAAAAATCCAAGAAAAAATCCAAAAAATCCAACAAGAATCCAAAAAAATCCAAAAATCCAGTCAAAATTTGAGTGGATTTTAAATCTGGTACACTTTTGGAGGCCGTTTCGGACCCCTCGGACAGGTATCTAAGACTAGGATCTGAGGGCCTATGCTGTGGAGGATGCTTAGGATTTAAATCCTTAAAATAAGGATCAGTGAGTCGCCTGTTCTCCAGTCTAGGCTGAGCGGTCGTCGCGTGTAAATTAGGTGAGAGGAGTTGGCCTGAGGATGTGGTCTTTTCACGCCCACCCCCGCCCTGTCGGAGGATGGATAGCTGGGACTCAAGGTGTCGAATTATGGCAGACATTTTGTCTCTTTCATTTGCTAGTACATCCCTCTCCATGACAATGTGTTTGAGCTGTTCTTGTAAATGAACAAAGTGCTTGCGAGAACTAACCACTTCTCTCTCCAGGCAGGGGCGTAGCTGAGGTAGGGCCTGAGGGGGCCTGGGCCCTACCATCAAAGTGGCCTTATAATTATATTCATAACATAAAAGGTTATATTCATTGTTCAAAAGGGGATGGCTGATAACCACAGCTCTTTTAAAGCTATATACAATGATAATTTCACTCTGATTTTGCTCAGCTTGCAGGAAAATGCCTCCATTTTGTTACGTAAAAAGGGTGTGGCCAAAATTGCGGCGCGCTTCGCGCGCCATTTTGTTTCCTTGCCCTACCGTCACCCAAGGTCCAGCTACGCCCCTGTCTCCAGGGACTTGTTATGCTCCTCCAACATCAACTTATTCTTTTCCAAAGCTCCGACTCTCTCTTGTAGAGACTTTAAGACGCTCTCGTCTATCGAGGACTGAGAACCAAACCCGTTTTGAGAACCCATTGAGGGCGGAG